TTAAAGTTTACATGTATTTTTTTCATCCTTTTACTTTCAGCCTACTTGTGTCATTGAATCTAAAGTATAATAATAATTAATTAATTAATTAATTAAAAAATATTCTTACCTGCATCTGGAACAAAAGGAATTGTTAAAATAAATATGTAAAAGGAGAAAAAAAAAAAGAGTTTCTTAGTGGGCAGCATATAGTTGGACCATGATTTTTATCCATTCTACCACCTTTGCCTTTTGAGTGTTTAATCCATTTATGCTTAATGCAATTATTGATAAGGTAGGGTTTAGTCTGCCTTTTTTTTTTTTTTTAGTCGAGACAAGGCCTCACTATGTTATCTATGTTGGCCTTTAACTCCCAGGCTCAAGCAATCCTCCTGCTTCAGCTTCCCAAAGTGCTGGGATTATAGGCATGAGCCACTGTGACCAGCCTTGTTGTTTTCTATGTTTTTTCGTTCCTTTATTCCTCCATTACTTCCATGTCTTTTCTTAGCAGCTATTTTCTAGTGTACCATTTTCTTTGTTGTAACTTTTACTATATATTCTCTAGCTATTTTCTTAGTGTTTTCCCTGAGGATTATAACATTTCGATTTATAACAACCTAGTTTGGAATAATGCTACTTCAACAGTATAGAAAAATTTTCTTCCTCTGTAACTCTTTTCCCTCCGCCTTCCTTTGTAATGTTGTCATACAAATTGTTTTTTCACTTTGTGCCCAGATTTTTAATTATTGTTTTATGCCGTTGCCTCAAATCAGATAGGAGGAAAATAAGTTACCAAAATGCATTCATACTGCCTTTTGTATTTACCAATATAGCTACCTTTATCAGTGCTATTTCTTCATGTGCATTTGAGTTACTATTATCTTTTCATTTCAGCCTTAAGTTCTCTGTATATTATTTCTTGTAGAGCAACCTTGCTAATAAATTCTGTTTTTATCTGGGCATGACCTAATCATTTCTGAAGGATAGTTTTGCTGGAAATAGAATGCTTATTTGATAGTCATTCACTTTCAGCACTTGGAATACGTCATCTCACTGTTTTCTACACTCCATAGTTTCTGATGAAGATCCCTAGCACATGAGTCACTTCTCTCTTTGCTTCCAAGATTCTTTGGACAGTGTGATTTTGTATCCAGGCATGAATCTCTGAGTTTATACTACTCAAGGTTCATTGAGCTTCTTGGGTATGCAAATCAATGCTTTTCATCACATTTCAGTTTTTGGCCATTATTTTTTCCCCAATATTCTACCTCTTTCTCTCCTCTCTTCTGGGACTCCAATTATGCATATATTGGTATGCATGATGGTGTGCCACAGGTCTCTGAGGCTCTATTCATTTTTCTTTATTCTTTTTTCTGTTTCTCAGACTAGATAGAGTTATTCTCATGAATTTTTCAACTCAGTTATTGTATTTTCAACTTCATGATTTATATTTGGTTCTTTTAAAAATAATTTTTCATTTTCTATTTAGTGAGACATTTTCATACTTTTAGTTCTTTACACATAATTTTTCTTTAGTTCTCTGAACCTACTTAAAATAGCCAATTTAAAGTCTTCATCTAAAAATCCAATGTCTAGACTTCCTCAGGTGCAGTTTCTATTTTTTATTCCTCCCATATATGGAACATACTTTCTTCTTTATGTGTCTCATAATTTTTCTGTGGAAAACTGGACATTTCAAAGAACAACGTGGCAACTCTGGAAATCATACTTACCTTTTTATCTCCTTGCTAAGGGTTTGATGTACTTGCTGAGTTTTTGGCTTGTTTAGTGACTATTCTGAACTAATTGGGTAAAGTCTATATTCTTTATAGTGCATGGACACTGAAGTCTCTGCTAGGGTCGTTTAGTGGTCAGCTAATGATTGGATGGAAATTTCCCTAAACATTACCAAGGGAGTTTTCTTACTGTGCTACGTCTCCAAGTCTGTACTAAGGGCTCTGGGTGCCTGTTGGGGCACCCCTTCAACACTGAGCCAGGAAGGCGACAGGAAGGAAGCTGCCTTTGGCCTCACTTTCTGCTTGTGTGTCAAGGTCAACCTACGGTGACAGCTCAAGATATTCTTAAGTCTTTCCTGAGCAGGAGTATAACCCTTGGCATATGCAAAGCTCTATACATACACATGACCATCTAAATTCCTAAGAATACCAGAACTTTTTGAGGTCCTTATGGACATCTCATTCCCTAGCTTTTCCTTTTACGTTTTTGGTTAGCCTATTGTCTGCTCCAAGGGTTGGCCACCACTTGAGGCAACCACAAAATTAACCAATTGCCTCTGAGTCTTTCTTGATTAACGTCCCTGGGAAAAAGGCTTTTCACACCTGGCAAGCTCCAATCTGGTAAAATAAAGACAGTCTTGCAAATGAGGTCTTCCAGGGACCTGCCTAACAGGTCAAATAATGACAATTCTCTGGGAATGAGGCTTTAAAGGAGTTCTAAGTCCATTCTGCCCCCTCTAGTGGCTCCCAGGCTGCTACTTTTCACCTTCATTGTATACTGTTGGTTTTCAAGGATACAATAGAGATGGAAGGGGGAGATATCTCGTTGTTCATACCGAGATTCAATAATTTCTCTTGAATAAATACTCCACCATTGATATTCTGAGCATTCACATGGTTCAAGCTCAATTATTCTATAAACTGCAGTAACTGAGAGAGGCAACCAAACTGGATGAAGTATGAGTTTTTAGCCACACTCCAAATGAATGTTGCCATAATTTTTCAGAGGCCTCGACAATCCTTTCATTATGTATCTATTTTAAAAATCTTGGATCATTAAGACTCAAAAATCACCATAAGAAACAAAACCTGATATTCTTTAACACAGGTAGCAACGATAATCCACACTTGTTGAGTGGAAAAAAACCCAGCTAACCCTTGAAAGTCTCTTAATTACATATAGAAATAATGTCCAAATGCTACGCCTTCTGCCCAGCCACCACACTGGCTGCTATACTTTCCGTCTCCAAAGTACAAGGGGACCACACATACAGTCATGCTTCAAAGGCTGTGAAGCAAGCTCTTTTCCTGACCAAGAATGTCAGTCACTTGGCTATGATCAATCCCTTTCCTAGAGACACCGGCATCACTTTCAGATCTATTAGCTGATGACACAGGAAGGTAGTTCCTCCCTGTAGGCACAGTGAGACTTGAATGATTTTTTTTTTTTTGAGACGGAGTCTCACTCTGTTGCCCAGGCTGGATTGTAATGGTGTGATCTCAGCTCACTGCAACCTCTGCCTCCCGGGTTCAAGCAATTCTCCTGCCTCAGCCTCCCGAGTAACTGGGACTACAGGTGTGCGCCACTATGCCTGGCTAATTTTTTGTATCTTTAGTAGAGACGGGGTTTCACCATGCTGGTCAGGCTGGTCTCAAACTCCTGACCTCAGGTGATCTGCCATCCTCGGCCTCCCAAAGTGCTGGGATTACAGGCGTGAGCCACTGCTGAGACTTGATTTTTAGACAGACATAGAGCTATTTCAAAATACAAACTTTATAAAAACCCCCTTTGTTTGAAGCACAGACAAGATATTCACTGAGTTTCTGGGAAAATGTATGAGAACTTCAAGAGGAGCAAGCAGGAGTGAATGAAAACCACAAAAATGAAGGCATAATAAAATGAGCAGGGTAATGTAAGGATCCATTTAAAGAGTCTTGAAGAGAGTGTGTTTATGAGTCTGTGAAATGAATTTACATCTCAATTTTTAATTGTATCAGGTTGCATTAGTGTTGGTCCAGTTAGAAATCCATGTTCATAAATCATCATAATACAAATGTTTTGATTTATGCTGAGGCAATGTATTAAGTACTTTATAGCAAAGATTAGAATTTCTGATTTTTCATTCAGGAAAGAGAAACAACTTTACTACTAATAATTTTAAAAACTGGCTTTGAAAGTCCCCAGAGACTACAAAATAGTTATGTATTTTAGAGAAAATTATACGCAGAGCCTCATAAGCCAACTGGTGTTGAAGCCTTTTTTTTTCCTAGACTGTAAAGATTTTAATTTGTAATGCTCAATGTAAAACAGGAGTGAATTACACTAGTCAGACAAGCTGGAGTGTGAAAGGTCTTAGTGAAGCACAATGACCAAAAGATGTTTAATGTACACCTCACTTTTCCATAAGAGAAGGGCCAGGTAACAAAGAAGTACATCACTCTTATCCGTTAGCCGGAGTGGATCCTCCGCCCAGGCCAGGGCTCTTTTGAATAGGGATCATTTAATTATTATGTATTTTAAGAGTGTGCTCAAAACATGTATTAACTGAAGATGCAGCATTTCATCCATACAATGTTATGTAATTAAGGTTTTTGGTATGATAACAATTGGACATACTGATGAACACTGATAGGGTAATCCACTAAAATGGGCCCCCTTTGCACTACATCATATGAAGGCCTATGCTCATGAGGCTATCCTGGACTTTAAAATTTACCACTAACCACACGAGAGCTCACTGAAGTAAACTTACCTGAATAGAGATACTTTCCAAGTAGCTCACTTTTTTTGCATTACTATTATTGTGTGAAATACTTTTCTACCTAGCGTAACTGTTGCTCAGAAAACAACATATATAGTAACTTCAGACTTGCTTTTCTGCAAAGTTTTGGACACAATTCAAATATACAGCATGTAGGCAAATTTTCCCCAGTTGATAACACTCCTTTATAATATCAAAAGATTAAGAATGACATCGATGAATCCAGCATAAAATTTCCACAATGAACAGCACCAGGGAAACCATTTAAGTTCCACTTCTCATCAATTAAGTTCAGGTGCTATACCCAAGGATTAAGGTTGAGACTGCCCAAAGGTTGTCTGCCTAGCCCACTGCTGTTGTTTAACACACCGTAGTTAGGTAGAGAAAGAATGCTTGGATTATAAGCATCTTTGTAAAATTTCAAACAAGGTAAAACTAATGTATTACCTTATCACAATGAGAGTCCTGAATACCAAGTTAGCACATTTCATAGCTCCATTCCATGACATATGATTGTAGAGGATGAAATAGAAAAATGTAGCAAGACATTTACTGTCACTTAAATGATAGGTAGCAGTCACTTAGGCCTGAAGCACAATTGTGAAGTTTCATGCCACATTTTCACCGGCTAACTTATATGCATGTAGAGGTTATGTTAAAACTTCAGTTATTCCAAAGGATGAAAGTGTTACATTTTGATACAGATCTTCAGTTCCTATTTTACTATAAGCCTTTGAAATGTTAAGGCTGAATAGATCAAGTTATGAAAAGGGACAAGAGGAAGAACAGTGCAGATACAGTGGGAACACATGGTAACTTTCTGCCTTCTCCATTCTACGTGGATGGTGTGCTTTCCGGGCAGCAGGTGGTGTGACTGTAAAAAGATCACACATTTGTCAGTAACTATGTAGGATTTTTGGCACTGTTAGAGCGTAGCATTATAAAGTCAGGGCGGCTAATAAAAATTCCATCAACCAAATTTTTGATAAGTCTGAAATTTAAAAAATATAATTTTTCTACCAAGAAAATCCTTAGTTCTCCATTCAGCCCTTTTAGAAAACTTACATCATTAAAAAACATTTTAAAAAAAGAATCACTTCACAGCAACCAGATGAACATCTGGCAGCAAAGCAACATTAAAATGCCATCCTTTGAAAGGAAGAGCAAATACGTGACTCCTTCATGAAGAGCAGTTCTTTCTGGCAGGGTGGAGGCTCACAGACTTTCTGTTTATGGACTTTTGCAGAAGTCCAAGGCTGAATTTGGACCTGCTTTTCCTGTATTTTCTCAGTTGCATCTGGACAGTATGCTAAGTATACAAGAAACGAGGGTCAAAATGAAGACAATGTCATGCATCAGGTGACCAAGTAAATGTGCACAGCTTGTACTTAGAATCATTCTGTTAAAAACTAGTAGTGGAAGTAGCTGAAGCCTGTCTTTCACGTGTGACAAAAATATTTCAAAGTCAGTATAAACTTAATCATAAACCCATCAAAAAAGAACACTGAGGTCTTATTTCAATGTGTGTTTTCTCCCCCCTTTCTCATTGTATGGAAACTGTTTATATTGAGAAAGAAAAAAAAAATCAGATCCTGTAAAGCTTCAAATATTCCTCAAATTCTTCTCATATAAAAAAAACTTATCAGAAAAATAAAAAATTTCAAAATCATTTTTCTGCAAACATTTTTAAAAAATAAGAAGTGTATTTTATTACAATCTACATTTTTGTTTTTAAAATCCCTCACAAAAGTCTGTTGCTACATTGTAAAACTTATAAACAAGGCTGGAACTTCCAGAGGGTGTGTGCTCTGGGATCCTCACTGAGCCTCCATGGGAGCCTCACTTTGCCGCCAACTCAGGCACCCCACCCTGCTACTCAAGACCATTGAGGCCATGGGGTTTTCTGAAACTCCTCAAAAACTAACAAGTTTCCATTGGAGACACTGTGGAGAATATGCTCTCAGGGAAATAACTCTCTGGGGAAAACAAGGGAGAGGAGAGGAAGCATCATTGAAGGTATGCGTGTTCAAAAGGGAATCTGGCTAGATTATCAAATCACTGTTTTCCAGGCACCTGAAACTTGCTTTAAATTAGATTTGGGGAGGCCCATCAATCTAAATGGTTTGTGTAAAAGACACACTCACATAAAAAGGAAAAACACAGAAGACAAACGGGTCCTTAATTTGGGGGATATATTCCAACTTGGGGGAAGGGTGAAGGCATTTTAGCTCTGAAGCTCAATCACGACATTTCCAGAGAGTTCTGCAGTGCCCCCGCATTGGACAGGACAGAATGGAAGAGTGTGCTGGACTGGCTGGATTCCCCAGTGTCAAGCTGGCAGCGCTCCTGAGGCTCTTGAGTGTTTATCAACTCAGCAGGTCAAAAGTCTGCAGACACTGGGTGGAGCAGCAGTAAGCCACAAAACTAACAGTTGTCCTCCTGGAAGGGGAAAAGGAGAGAAGAACACTGTGAGTTCAAGATTAAAGTCTCTGATTCTTTCTGTTGAAAACTGTCTCTTTTTTTTTCTTTGTTAAAATGGAGGATTAGCCATGGTCGACAAACTGCATAATAGAAATTTAAATTTCCTTTTAAAACTGAGCACTGGAATCAGGTGAAGTATATACATGTGAATGTTCATTTTAATAGCAGTGTTCAGAGGATATACTATCCCTAAAGCAGAAACTAAGAAAAAAAAAATCTTTTCCACTTTACGTTTTGAATTCTGCTTACTAGAACCAACAGTGCAATCATAGAATTTGAAGTCCATTATAAAAATCATGTAACAGAAAATGTCACCAATTTAGCCAGAACACATATATACCAGAGCTTAAACAACATAATTTTAAGGAATTTATCCTACAAATATATGTATACACATAGATTGCTCATAGAGGTCATTTCAGAATCTGAATAATACAGTTCAAAGGTCTTCCCACATATCAGAGGTTTGGGCACCTTTGTGCAGTGAGTCACAAACTCCAGGGGGCCTCCGACTCACTCTGGACAGTTTCAGCTGCTAGATGCCTTGTTTTCCTGCCAGAAGTGCTATCCTCTGGTAGGGGGAGAACAGTCTCTTGTTGTTTCCACAAGACCCCCTGTGCTAATTGTCTTCTATTTCCTCACCCCCAACACAGTCCGCCTTTCTCTGTGGCCCAGGAAGGGGACCTCTGTAGACTTTACCAGCAAAGCTGCCTCAACTCCAGCTTCTGGTTAGGCCAGTGGGAGGCACCAGCAGAAGGCACCAGCAGGGGGCTGAAGGACAGGAAGAGGGAAAGTTGAGCATTTCCACCCCACTTCCTCTCTACCTCTGGGACTGGAGATTCTATCAGGCAGGCCCCCTTTGCCACCTCTGGTTCTTGCCAGGCTCCAGAGCTCCCTTTGCCCTTCAGGCCCAAGGATTAAGCATGGTAAGGGCTTCCTAATGCTGTGAGTCCCTGTGTGCCTCATTATCCTTCTGGATGCTCTGCACCCTGCCCAAACTTCAGCCAATTGCCCTTCTTCACTGATTTCTCTTCAAAGTCTCAGCCAAATGTGCATTTTGTTTTTCAGCCCTGATGAATACAGTATGTGTTATGAGAAGTGGCCCAACAAAGCAGCTCATCCAAGTGACATTCTGAGGTTGGGCTGGTGAGTACATGAATGGCTTTCTTACTAGGGAGAAGTGGGACCCTGCTAATCTGTAGCATGTGGTGGCATCGCAGTTACTCAAATATCACTGGAACAGAAGGTAACAGGAGGGCAAGGCATTGGGACAGCAAGTGGCTGTGGCACTTGATTGCTATGGCATCATGGTGATTCCAAGTTTGTGGGGTGAGATGACTTCTTTTGACTGTGCTGAAGAGATTCCGAAAAGAAAATGATAAGCTTAGTCCTTGAGATCTCAACTCAAAGCATGGGTAGAGAATCAGAAAGTTTTTATGGTGGCCTTAAATGAATCCTTATTTTATGAATCTGCAAGGGACATGGCTGAAGCTAAATGTAGAGGTTTCAGGATCACATGCCAGATAAAGATATATTTATGCTAAGTCTCTTATGCTAAAGTAAAAGATGCTGTTGGGAAAGAGTGGGAACTTGAGACTTAATATGGGAGCCTCTAGACAGGCACAAATCTAAGAGCCTTGACTCTCTAGCACCTCTAAACATTTCTTCATATCAGAAACAGATCTTTCCACCTTCTACGAAAACTAGCATTCCCTTGGGTACAAATGTTTCAATGGCTTCCTCTGTGGTGGTTATCTAAAAACTTTTCAGGACCCACCACCATCAATACTCATCGCCTCTAGGGCCAAAAAGGGTAAAATCCTAGCATGATCCAGAGATCACTGCAAGGTCTACTCCTGGAGGAAATCATGTACATGCTGATGGAGTTGCAGGATCTTGTCAAACTATATTAGCAGGAACCTGGAGGGCACACATGGAAATGGATTCTAAGTACATTAGCCAGCAAGAATGAATGTAAGATTGGATCAGGCCAACAGGGGTACTTCACCTATACCTCAGAATATGATACATTAAGCACCTGGGAGTGGTTAACAGAAGGCTTGACTCATTGGAGGCCAACAGCCGATGAGACAGCTGTGCTAGACTCCCCTTGCAGATTCTAGAGGGAGGATAAATGGAAATGCAGAGAGGACCCAAGGTAGCGGACCCTGCTCAGCCACCTCCTGAAAATCTCCAGGAGGGCCAAGAAGTCTTTTCTTCCCTAAGGCTAAATATATTTGCAAGGGGGAATACAAACTGGAAGTAGCAAGCACCCTTGATGCCTCAATAGATACATGATTATCAGAGGTGAGAGAGAAATCCTGCAAGAGTTCACATGCCTGCTACATCAGTGCAGTTTCAAATGGAAAAGAAGAGTTATATCCAGAACTGCCCACTACAGAGAAACAGATACACACTTGGTGGATCCCTCTGGATTTCGGGAGAAAATATATTTCGGTGGGAACTTCTGGTTCCACCAAGATGGGGTAGGCCCCATTCTTCCCAGGTCTTCTCCACTACACCTGAAACACTCTGAACAAAATACAACAAATAAGCACAGGCAAGCTCTGAAAGGGAGAATGAAGGCAGACAGCCCAGGGACAGAGGGACTTGAGGAACAACGCAGTGCTGGCGAGTTCCCTGGGTACCTTATTGCTCTCTATATCTTAAATAGAATGCTGTAGAAACCTCCAATCCAGAACCAGTAACATGCCCAGATGAAATTGGCTCCAAGTAAAGTAAGCCAAAGGCCAGGGATAGGAAAATCTACAGAGACAGAAAGTAGATAAGCAGTTGCCTAGAGCTAGATATGATGGGGATAGAGGGACAGGGGCAAGAGCTAAGTGTTTAGGGTTTCCCTTAGGGAGAGAAAATGTTCTGAAATGGATTAGGGTGAGGGTTGCACATATCACTGAATGTACTAAGAAACACTGAATTGTATACTTTAAATGGATGAAACTATATGATATGTGAATTATCTCAATAAAGCTGTTAAGAAATAATAGAGATGAAAGGAGAAATAGATAAATCCATAAATAGAGTCGGGGACTTCAATACCTTACTCTCAGCAACTGATAGAATTACTAGATAGAAAATTAGTACAAGTACAGAAAAACTGAACAACACAATAAAAAAAAATCTGACATATACAGAATACTATCCAACAGTGGCAGAATATACGTTGTTTTTCTCAAATGCCCATGGACCATATACCAAGTCACAGCTGAAATCTGCCTACGTGGACAGAGCTGCTAGAGCCATAAACTGGTAGGAACACTTAAATGAGAATGTTTACAAAATGTGGGCAAAAAACCACACCTTAAAAAATTTAAAAGGTATCATACAAATTATGTTCTCAAACTACAAGGGAATTAAACTAGAAATAATAAAAGATAGCTGGAAAATTCCTAGATATTTGGAAATTAAACAACTTAATTCTAAATATTTAGGTGAAAGAAGAAATCTGAAGAGAAATAAAACAAATTTTCAACTAAATGAAAATGAAATACAAGTTATCAAAAAGTAATAGGATGCAGCCAAAGCAGTACTTAAAGGGAAACTTATAGTACTAAATACACATGTTAGAAAAGAAAGGTCTAAAATTAATAACTCATATTTCTACCAGGAAACTACAGAATGAAGAACAATTTAAGTTTAAAGCAAGGGAAAAAATCATAGAGTATGTTCTTTGACTATAATAGAATCAAACTAGAAACCAATAACAAAAAGACAAGAGGAAAATCTTCAAACATATAGAAATTAAACACCACAGTTCTTTGACCCATGGATCAAATGACCACACTTTCGCAGGTCAAAAGGAAATATCAAAGGAACTTAAAACATACACAAACTGAACGAAGATGAAAATACGATTCAAAAATCAAAGATTTTGGTACATAGCTAGAAGACAGCAGTGCTGAGGGAAATTTATATCACTAAATGCTTACATTACAAAGAAGCTTAGATTATTGATTTGAGACTTTTCCTCTTTTATAATGTAAGTACTTAGTGCTATAAATGTCCTCTTTTAGCTTTTAAAAACCTAAAAAAAGAAAATAAGCCCAAAGCAAGCAGAATAATACCAAACAATGAGGAGAAACCAATGAAATCAACCACTAGGATTATGAATAACAATAAAACTGATAAATCTTGAGCAAGACTGACAAAGATAAAAAGAGAGAACACACGAATTAATATTAGAAATGAAGCAGATGATATCACCACAGATCCTACAGCCATTAAAAAGATGTATAGGAATACCAGGGACAACTGTATACTAATAAATCTGACAACTTACAAGAAACAGTCTAGTGTCTAGAAAACTACAAACTACCAAAACTCAACTGTGATGAAATAGACAACCTGAATAGTCCTACAACCATTAAATAAATTGAATTTATAATTTAAAAAAGAAAACAAATTTCCCTGCCCAGATGGTTTCACTGAAGAATTCTAACAAAGAGTAAAAAAATAAATTTTTGAAAAGTTTTACACAATTTCTTCAGGAAAAAACAGAAGAAGAGGAACACTTCCTAACTCATTTAATGAGGCCAGTATTATCCTGACTCCAGAACCAGACAAGGATAATACAAAAACAGAAAATTACAGACCAACATCTTTCATGAACAAAGATTTTTAAATCTTCAACAAAGTATTAACAAATTAAAGAAATGTACAAAAAGAATTACATACCATGATCAAGTGGGAGTTATTCCAGGCATGTGAGGCTAGTTCAATATTTGATAATCAGTATCACCCGCCACATCAACAGGCAAAAGAAAAACCATATGATTATATCAATGGACTCAGAAGAAGCATTTAACAAAATAGAACACTTTTTCATGATTAAAACTCTCAGCAAACTACATAGAGAGGAAATCTTCCTTAATTTAATAAAGAGAACATACCAAAAACCCATACTTATCAGTAGGGTTAACACATTATACTTAAGAGATTATATTATACTTAACATATTATATATACTATTATAGTTAACACATTATACTTAACAGTGAAAGGCTGAGTGTTTTCCCTTTAAGATTGGGAACAAGGCAGCTGGGCGCGGTGGCTCACGCCTGTAATCCCAGCACTTTGGGAGGTGGAGGCAGGCGGATCACGAGGTCAGGTGATCAAGACCATCCTGGCTAACATGGTGAAACCCCGTCTCTACTAAAACTACAAAAAAATTTAGCCAGGTGTGGTGGCAGGCACCTGTGGTCCCAGCTACTTGGGAGGCTGAGGCAGGAGAATGATGTGAACCCAAGAGGCAGAGCTTGCAGTGAGCTGAGATCACGCCACTGCACTCCAGCCTGGGTGACAGAGTGAGACTCTATCTCAAAAAAAAAAAAAAAAAAAAGATTGGTAACAAGACAACAAGGCAAGGATGTCTATTTTCACAACCTTAGTCAGCACAGTACTTGAAGTTCTAACCGCTGCAATAAGGCAAGAAAAAGAAATAAAGGCATACAGATTGGAAGGGAAGAAATAAAACCACTCCTTAGCAGACAGCATGACATGATTTTCTATGCAGAAAATCCCAAGGCATCTACAAAAAATACTCCTAGAACTAAAATGCCAGTTCAGCAAGCCTGCCACATATACAATCAAAATATGAAAATGAACAACATTCCCATATGCTAACAATGAACATATGGAAATTGAAATTTTAAAACACAGTATCATGTATAAGCACACAAAAAAGTGAAATATTTTGATATAAACTTAGGAAAACGTTTAATGGTATGTATGCTGAAAATTATGCTGATGAAAGA